GATAGCGCATGTTGCTGACCTCTGCACTCAGGAGGCAGAGGCAGTCAAACCTCTGTGATTTTGAGGCCAGCCTGGTCTCCATAGTGAGTTACAGACCAAGAATACACAAAGAGATCGATCATCACCCCACACAAATAATAAGGTGGAGAATGATAGAAAATGACCTTAATCTCTGGCTTTAATATGAGCATACATGACATGGCGTGTATACCTGCATAGACAGGTACATACAACACACGAGACAGAGCGAGAGAGAGGGGGGAGAGGGAGAGGGAGAGAGGAAGGGAGGGAGGGAGAGAGAGGGGGGAGAGGAAGAGGGGCAGAGGGAGGGAGAGGGAGAGGAAGAGAGGGAAGGAGAGGGAGAAGAAGAGGGAGAGGGAGAGGGAGAGAGGGAGAGGGAGAGGAAGAGGGGGAGGGAGAGGGGAGGAGGAGGGAGAGGGAGAAGAAGAGGAGGGGAGAGATTGAGAGAGTGAGCTTTCGCGAACACAACACTAGTAAAGACATTCCTAATCTGTCCTTCTCATTCTGATTTATTGTAATCTTACATTGCTAAACATTTGCCAGTTTGACTCTTAGTCTTTTGTTTTATTCGCCAGCCCTAGTCTAACCACACTGTTACCAGATTTACTTCTGTACTATGCATATAAATTATATTATTCTCACAATTAAGCTGCTCAAGTTGTCTTCTCTGGTAATAAAACCTTTTATGATCAACTCTCCACTAGGTTTTTATTTCAATTGTTTCACATTTCAATTTCCCTCTTCTTTAAGCTGTATGAATCTCTTGCCTTTGGGGGCATTGTCTACCCTGTTTCTTGGTTTTGTGGTTTTGTGCCAGCCATTTTCTTTCCTTCAAATGCCTTTCTTTCTCTGGCATCAGTTAGTGTTCAGCATCATCTCCATGATGTCTTTAGTAAGCTAAATCCGCCATATTGCTTTATCCCATATTAGAATTTTCTTGTGGATATATGTACACGACATGTAAATAAAATATATAGACAAGTTATAAGTGCACAAGTCATCTTCATAATACTAACATTGCTGTGCAAGAAAGCAGTAAATAACTTTATTTATAATGATTTATTTATTCACAAATAACCTGAAGCCCATGTGGCAAAATATCTGGAGTGTGAAGGTAGAAGGGATTTGGATGTGAGTTCTTGTTTTCTCGGTAATCTTTTAAATGTTTAAAATATTTATTGACTTAAAATAAGTTGAAAAAGATAAAATAACATAGTTAGATGATGGATAAACAACCAAAGCAGGGCTGTAAAAATGATTCAGTGGCTATGAGCGTTTGTCACTAAGTGAATGAAACAACTTATCCTCTGTCCTCCACAGGGCTACATAGTGTAGATAAAATAAAGGTAAGCAAGCCAGGTTCTAAACTCCTTCAGAGATTAAAGCTACAATGTTTTAATTCTTCCACTCATACATGTGTTCCTAGCCACACTTAAGACCTATGTTGATGAGGAAGCACATCTCCTCTCAGTTTGGCCCATCTATCTCAGACTCCATGTCGCTTCCAGCACATGGAAGGTGTCAGAATACTTACAGATCCTCTTTCTAACATTTCATCCTGTGTTTGAACTGCAATAGGGTCTCTCTTAGTGCATGGAGCCAAGAGACAGACTCAGTTTGCCTAGGGCAGAGAAGAAGCTCCCCACACTGATCTCTGACTCAGTCCTTGTCTCTCAATGACTAAGTTCTTTTTTCTTTTATTGAATATATATTCTTTCAATACAGTATATGATTACACTTTATTAGTATATTTGATTATAGTTTTCCCTCCCTCTCCTCCTTCCTGCTCCTCCTTCCTCGCTTTGCATCCAAATCTACCCCCTTTCTGTCTCTGTTTAGAGATCAAACAGGCATTTGAGGGATAATAACATAAAACAAAAAATATAAAATGAAAAACAATAAATCAGAACAGGGCAAACCAAACAAGCCAATAGAAGGAAAGAGCTCAGGGAAGGACACAAGAAATAGATACAGTTGTAGAGACCCAAGCCTTCTCATAGTCAACATCTTCAAGTTTGGACAAACACTTTGCAAGACAACTTACAGAAATGGATCTATTGAGTACGTACCGTGTTTGTCTTTCTGGGTCTGGGTTACCTTTCACTCATAAGGGGAGAATACTAGATGTAAAGCAAAGTATAACCAGACCACAATCCACAGATCCAGAGAAGCTATGTAACTTGGAGGACCCTAAGCGGGACACCTGAATTGCCCTGGGAAGGGGAAATAGATGAGATCTCCTGGGTAAACTCCTCTCTCTCTCTCTCTCTCTCTCTCTCTCTCTGTGTGTGTGTGTGGGGGGGGGTAAGGAAAAGGGGATGGGGGATGAGAACATGAGCGAAAGGGATGATTGAATTGATGCAGTGGGAGGGTAAGGAAAGAGATATCTCAGTAGAGGGAGCCATTATGTGGTTAGGGAGAAACTTTACACTAAGGAAATTTCCAGGAATCCAAAGAATGACTCCACCTAAGGCCTCTATCAATAGTGGGGAGGGTGCCTAAAACGGCCTTCCTCTTTAATCAGATTGGTGACTACCCTGTCATCAGAGAGCCTTCATCCAGTGTTGGTGGAGGCCGCTTGTTTGTTCCCGGATACTCAGAACTGAAATAATTACACAGAAACTGTATTAATTACAACACAGCTTGGCCTATGAGCTTATGCATATTTCGTGTCTTCTCCCTGACTCTGCCTTCTTTCTCCTCCTCTATCTGCTTGGACCTCCTTCCTTGCCCTATTCCGCCAAGACATTGGCTGAAACAGATTTCTTTATCAACCAAAAGAAGCAACACATAGACTGAAGAACTTCCCACACCAATCCAGTAATTGATGGAAGCAGATGCAGAGGTCCACATCCAAGCACCAGGCCAAGCTCCAGAGTCCAGTCGAAGAGAGGGTGGAGGGATTATGTGAGTTGGCTTTTTGAAGCCCATTCCCTGTGGTGGGATGTCTTGCTCAAGGGGAGGGGCTTGGTTCTGCTTCAACATGATGTACCAGGCTTCATTGACTCCTCATGGGAGGCCTTACTCTTTCTGAGGAGTGGATGGGTATGGGTTGTGGGAGGGGAGGGGAGTGGGGAGGAGGAGGGGAGGAGGAACTATGGTTGGTATGTAATATGAATAAAAAAATAAAAAAAACATATGCAGCCAAAAACTAAAAAAGAAAGAAAGAAAGAAAGAAAGAAAGAAAAAGAAAAAGGATTCATTGAATTGACAGTTGGTGCTGTTTATCTGCTTTCCTCTGTTTGGTTTCTGAGTTATAGGAGTTAACATATGAGTTAACAGTTCTGCCACTGGCTAGTATATGAGATTTGGAAAAGGTATTGTGTTAAAACATCCCATTTACTATGGCTCATTACCTAGTCATGCTGGATGCTAATTTTCCACTGACTGTGATCTGTGCAATTGTGGTTTGATCAGGACTCTCTTCCCCCTTCTTGCGTTCAAGTGTGTCAGGAGAACACTCATCAAATCTCCTCTGAAGTCTGGATTCCCTATTTCTCTCCTGTTTCTCTGCTCTCCCAGTGTGGTAACTCTGTCAGTAGGAAATGAGGTTCCTCTGACAGGGCTGTTCTCAGTGAGCTCTTGCTGAGTTTGCCCCCTCCTTTTCTGAGTACTTGCAAGCCATTGTTTAGGGAAATTGTGCTAGGATGTTGCCCTGGATTGATGTCAAACTCAGTCCTCTGTAGTTCACGAATGCACATTTTTTCCTTTGTCTAAATCTAAATGATACTTGCTGAAATCCGATTTTCCAGCAACTCTTTTCCACAGAGAGATTCTTTAAATTCAGTGATAGCAATTCAGCTACATCTACAAGTGCTCAGAGTCCAGTGGATAGCACTCCATGGGCTGGGAGCCAGGGACTCATTTGGGGCCACGCCTTTTAACCCCCTCACCTATTTAACAATGCATCTCTCAACTATTTGAGTGAGAACGAAAGAGTTAATGCTCTTAAATTGCAGTTGGGGTCCTGTTTGGTTTGATGGCTAGTATCAATATGAATGATATCAAAAGAACAACCTGTTATTAGAAGGTGTGAAGGATGTGCAGTGCTGTTTTTAGATAATTCAATAAAAATAAAGCAGATTAATCAAGTTGAGGGAATTAAGTCTTCAATGCCTCAGCCCATATATTTTAATTATGGAGTAAAGCTGGGCTTCAAAGAACGCAATCTAAAAATATCAACCTTTCCGCTTGTATTTCTTGAATACTCCCGAATATACCCAGACTCTAGAAATAGCTATGATCTTTACTGATTTTCTCTATGGCAAAGTCTTAACCCAGGCAGAGGCTAGCATAACCTCCTATTTATTGTAAAGTTACTGTTGAATTTGAATACCAGCTTGCCAATAGTGGTGAAGCTCTGTTGCTAGCCAACTTTTGAGGTTAGCTGGATGGTTGGGAAAGGAAAGGTCAGGGAGGAGAGGAGCAGGAAGAAGAGTGAGAGGAAGACAATGGTGTTTTGGTCCTTGAGGTCTTTCATAACTACCATTTCCTGTGCCAAAACTGCTGTGATGTATTTTGGTTATCTATTCCCATTGCCTCCCTGCAGATTTGTTCTGGAAGGAAGGGCGCACAGTGATCCTTTCACAGGTGAGTAGACTGAATTCCAAGACATGGAGTCGTGTGCTCCAGGGTCACACCTCTGCTGAATGGCAGAATCAGGATTTCAACCCCACAGCATCTGATTTCAAAGCTGTTCCCTTTTCATTGTAGGACACTGTCAAAATGGAAATAAATCTGGACTCAAAGGGACTTCTCCTTTTGTCCTTCTAAACTGTCTTTTAATCGAACGACCAGGGAGAACACCATGCCATTTTTCAAATAGATTGCTAGTTAACTGTATTTCCTCCTTTTATTTTATAGGAAAAGTGCAGTGTAATTGTTTCCATACAGTAATATCAACCCATTACCGTGTGTGAATGGAACACATTTTCACATGACATTTCATTTGGGACTTCATACTATCCAAGAAACAAAATCTGCGAAGGCTCCTTTTCGGGACCTGGTTACTTTCTACATCAGATCAAGAACTGGAAGCTGCCTGGCCCCAGTTGAATTAACTTTTCTGCTTTTTAGTTCAACAGGTGCAACAGAACAAGGTTTGTGAATGAACACTCAGTCTTGGTGCAGAGGATAAGAAATGAAGTAATAGATAGAGTTGGAGAGGGGACACATATATGGGGCACAGTATCCCCTGCCATAACAGATGCGTGTAGCTGAGCAAAAGCTCTTTGAAAAATTCTAACAAGAAGCCCAAACACGAAATTAGAGCAGGGAAACTACAGAAGTCAAACATAGCACCCACAACTTGAAGTACAAGGAAGCACAAGGGCCTTGAGAGAGCACACTCTAGGGATCCCCCTGCTCTCCTCAGCCTTTGTGTATGTGCTCTTCAGGGATCTGTAGTTCCTGACTTGAGTAACTCTAGTTACAAATACAAATGGAGGAGACGGTGGGAGGCAAACTTATGAAACTCCAATGAATTACCCCATTCTAGTGGCCACAAATTATAAAACAAAACTACAGGTCTTGAATTTGGAAAGGGGGTAGGGAGGGAGGAGTGGGGGAGAGTTTGATATGGGCAGGAGAAAGGAGGCAGATTAGGGAGAGAATAGTTGGAGTGTATTAACACATATACAAAATTGCTGAAGAACTAACTTAATTAGTAAGAAATAATGTCAGGGAGAACACAGGCAGATAAGTAAGGGTCACGTTTGTACCAGATAGCTGAGTAGAGCGCACCAACTGTGGGTCTTGGCATATTTCTGTATTTCTGTTGTGTATATGTGCTTATGATGCCTTCTTGGAGTTTGATTTAGTCAATCTAAACATCAAAATTTTGCCCACAGAGACATGTAGACGGGTATTTTGATAAATCCAAAGCCAAGCTGCAAACTAAATAAATGAGTGCTTCGTATTTATCTACAGTATATCTCTCTCTCCGAGTGCTATTGCATGGATCTTCCTTTAGCTGATGCAATAGCCCACTGTTCTGCTTGATGGACTATCCCTCTGCTGGAGCAGATTAAATAAAGGCTGTCACTGTGAGCTTTATCAGATGGGCTTTACAAGAAATCTCTGTATTCATCATGATGATCAGGAAGTGTGGATTTTGGATCTTGCTCTGTGTTAAGCAAGCAGGTTTGAGTTAGAAGAAATGTTTTCAGTGTAGCTAGTTTCCATGACAAAACTTTTCTGTATAGATGCTTTCTCATGGTATGACTGATATTTAAGAAATCCTCGGATTTTGTCTTCTCCAAGATAAATTGTGGGCATCGATGATGTTAATTTCACAAGGAACTTTATCAGGTTATGTAAAAGAATTATGTTGTTATTAGTCTATGTCAATTTGACTCTGGCATCCAGTGGTATAGTTCAACACAAGACTAGATCTTGACATATAGCTCAACAATAGAGTGATTGCCTGGCATCTATAAAGCTTGATGTTTTATCCCCAGAACTGCCCAAAGAAGGAAAAAGTATAAATGTTTCTTTTAAAAAGTTCCTTTTAGTTGTGTCAGTATTGAGTAAAGCACATTGCTTTCCACATTGTGTGTGGGTGGGCCTTATAGAGTCAGGTGAAGGTCTTGACAGCAAGTCCGAGACTGATCAAAGAAGAAGCAACTCTCTCTCAAAATTATAACTTAGAAACTTCACCTGAGTTTCCTGTCTCATAATTTTAGACTCAAAACGACGCCATCATTTCTCACCTGAGTTTTTAGCCGGACAACTAGTGCTGTGGCTTTCACATACAAATTCTTAGGAGCCGTGAACTCAGAAGTGTTTTTTCTTTGAATCTCATTAATTTTCAAGTTCTCCCTTTGCCTCCGTTTTTCTTCTTTTCCCTCTTCTGTCCCTTTCCTACCTTCCTCCTCCCTCCTTCCTTTCTAGACAGGCACATATCATTTTGTCTGTCTCACAATGTCAGCTTTGTCTGTGACTCTGAATTGTGACTAACCCCGGGGCTAAATGCTGTCTGGTGCACTTCTTCCTGGCATACAGGCCTTGGTTATGTGAACAGCTATTCTGCATAATCTTTTCTGGTCCGAGATTCGTCATTCATATATGGCATTGTTGGAGTCAGTAATCTGTAAGCTACTACCCAAAGCCCCATAATATATGTTGTCAAACTCTTCAAGATAAAAACTGTCTTGATGGGGAGGGCAAACAAAGCAACCCCCCTAAACAACTTCCCATTGAGAGTCTCAGAGTGAATTAAAGTTTGTGTGTATATTTGTGCCGGTTTTAAATTTCCTGTTGTGACTTACAACATGTCTAGTGTGCTCCCTATAAGTTGATTCAAACACAGAGAAATTTTATAATGTCCCTGAAGAGTTTTCACATTCAGTGAGAAGCATGCTCTTATGCCTGTCATATCGCAGACAGGGAATTGTTGGCCCAGTGGGAAAATTCAGACAAGGAGAGGTTGAGAAGGAAGCCACATTCTCTGGGAACCTCGGTGTTTTGTGTGCTGTGGGTTTCACAGGGGAAATGTGTGATGGGAGCTGGGAATTATCAAACTGAAAACAGAGTCTCAATTTAGGACATTTTGTTTGTTTATTTTGTAAGGAGAATGGAGTGTTCTTTTACTTTGGGGAACATGGTAAGTTTTCACTCACAGAGGTCTTCTTCCTGTGGTGAAACATCCCTCCCCTGGGAACTGGTGCCTTAAATTTGCCCCTTTCTGCTTTATTTTCAGCAATAGAACCTGTCATTATTGCTATATATTCATTCTTTTATCTGGTGTTTGGTTGTTTTTCTCACTAGAATATCATGTCCCTGAGAACAGATATGTCATCTGCCCTCCTTGGTGTTAATATCCTGAGAGTCTATGACTGTTCTGAAGGTGCACTGATAGTCAATAAGTATTTGTTGAAGATAAAAAGACCTGGGAATAAATTTCCTGTGTTCCACCTCATTGACAATAGCTATTGTTATGCCCCCGAGAACAGCACCAGAACTAAACTGCTTTCCTTTTTTCTTCGTTTGGCTGAAGTTTTGGAGGAGAACATGATAGGACTTGGTCTTTCATCTCTCTGGGAAGAGACTTAGAGGCTTCCCAATCGCAACACTAGGGACTGGTGAGGAGCTTTATTTCCTGGTCTTGGGTCTTCTTGGAGAAAGGTGTGAAGGTTGAAGTATTCAGAGCTGGAAGGATTAGACAATAATGGGTTTAAATTATAGGAGTGGGCTGTAATTCTTGGATCCTAGAGAAACCTTCTATTGTTCTGTAACAATTACTTAACTATTACTCCAAAACTTAATGGAGATTCATATGAGTAACCATTCTGAGAAAAGAGGGTCCAGGGATTCCTTAGCTGTATGGTTTGGTGGTCAAATTGTAAGCCAGGGATGTGACCAGCTTAGAGGGAGTAGAGGACCACTGCCAGGCTCGCTTATGCAGCTGTTGGCAGAAGGCTCCAGTGTTTCACTCTATTGCAATGGGATTTCTACTGCAGAGCCACAAGACAGAAATATAGGATAAATGAGAGGGGAAAAGGGAGGAAGAAGAAGAACATAATGTATATGTAGACAACAAGCTACAGAAGATGCTGTGTTGTCTTTAACACCTGAAGTTGGAAATTTGGAACTGGAGAGGTAGCTCGGTATGGAAAGGCATTTGCCACCAAGATTGACCATCAGGTTTTATACCCAGAACCCATGGTGGAAATATGTGCATAAACACATACATACACACACACAATAAATAAATAAATAAATAAATAAGTAGAAAAATGGAAAGAAATGCAGCCCATTATTTGTGTCATAGTCTATTTCTTACAGCAATAAACTATATTACTTTTGAGAAGCAAACTGTACAACATTGTGAATGTCACGCCAGGATGACAGTACAGTTACATGTCTCCCAAAGGCTCATGTATTAGAACCTTAGCCCCAGCATTGTGCTCCTGGGGAAGCCATAGATCCTTGATGAGCTAGCGACTTGTGGGAAACTCTGCTCATTTACAGAGGTTCTCAAAAGGGATTCTGGTACTTAATACTTTCTTCCTCTTTTAATTTCTGGCCAAGGCAAAAACAGCTCAATCCCCAAGGACTCCTTGTAACTGACTCTGTGTGGTGATTTGAAAGAAAATGGTCCCCAAAGGGAGTGGCAATATTAGGAGTTGTGCCTTTGTTGGAGTAAGTGTGGCCTTGTTGGAAGAAATCTGTCACTATGGAGCAGGTTTTGAGCTCAAGATACTGCCCAGTGTCTTATTCCACTTACTGTTTTCTTCTGATCAAGCTCTAGCCCTCACTATGTCTATCTGCACATTGACATGTTCCCTGTCATGGTGATAGTGGACCAAACCTCTGATCTGTAAGCCTCCACCTCACTTAAAGGTTTTCCTTTATAAGAGTTGCTACAGTCATGGTGTCTCTTCACAGCAATAGAAACCCTAAGAAAGACACTCTGTCACCTTCCTAGGATCCTAAGTCAACACCATCCCGTGCAATCATGCACTAGAACCAAAAAGACTGTATGTGAGTGGAAATAAAGATTTTTCTCTTCATGAGTTAATGGTCTTAGGCATTTTGTTACAATGACAGAAAGATAATACAGGAACCATCTTAGAGACTGGCTACTACATTGGACAGTGTGTGTGCGTGTGTGTGTGTGTGTGTGTGTGTGTGTGTGTGTGTGTGTGTGTGATGGTGTGATGGTATCTTCCATTCTGGAGGGTTTTCCCACCAAGTATGTTTGCTGTGCTTTCCTTCTTCTCATAATTTGATCTCCTCTCTTATTTTTAAAATATACCATATACATTTATTTTTTATGCTCTGTGTTTGTGAACACTATGTCTAAAAATTTTGTTCATTTGAATTTATTGCCTGTTGTCTTATCTGGCTGTCACTCAAGGTGTCTTGATCTCATTCTTGTGCCTTTTCATGGTGTTTTATTCTTTTTCGGACTTCATCCACAGAAGCTCTCTGAGAGCAGATCTTCTTTTCCGCAGAGGATAGCATTTGCTTCTGTCAGGCTCCAGGGGACACTTTAGCCCAGAACCATTTTGAATAAAATCGTTGCCTTGTAAATTTTTATATTGCCTAAGTAATGTGAATTGAAGCTAAAACTGCATAGAGATTACCTTATGTTTGT